TGTTTGTAACACTAAGGGCCTATGTTTCAGACTCTGAGCTCTTGCACAACTAGACCTGCTCCCTCTTCTCAGCCTCAGGGTAAAAAGTTACACTACTCCTTCTTTCCTCACCTCCATTCTAGTTTCATTTTTAGGTTGCTAATCTGACCTTTAGTTTAAAAAAAAATGAGGCACTGAATGTAAAGAGAAAGTAGGTATTTTCCCCAGATGTTCTTTTACCAAAATGAGACAACTTCATTTCTTAGATTTTCTGTAGTTAGGGACCTGAGTAGTTCAAATTCCCCATTCTTCATACACATACCAGAATATAATCTATCCTTATCTCGTGGCCAATTTTTCTTGGAAGAGTTAGTTTATGGTGTTGAAAAGGGAATATTGTTTATGCTTTGTCCATGAAACTGAAGGGCTTGGCAAATACCAGACTTCTGAATATAGGAATTTAATCATTACTCCTCAGTTGAGGTCTTTGGTCACAATTAGTTCAGAATTTAACAAGTGCATTCTCCCCCACACCTACAGTATTGAGGCAGAACTTCAAAGCCCTTGTCCAGGGCTGTTATAAGCCAAACCCTGTGATAGGTGGGAGGCTACACTAGAAACTAAGACCCCCACCCACTCACAAGGCAATATTTCAAGGATTATACAGTCTCAAGAGTGAAGCATTTCCTGAGAATACCTTTTTAAAACATCGATTACTCTTCTATGCTGATTATGCTTGCAATATATTTTAATATGTAAGAAGACATTACTTTTCTACCTCCATTTCTGGGAATGGTGGCTACTCCTAGTTCTTTTTTGATCCCCGTGTAAGATGCCACATTGCCTCCTCCAGGAAGCCTTACTCTACCCCCACCAGCACTGTGCCCTCCTCTGTGCCCCTACAGCAGCCCCAACAGAACCCACAGAGCACTTGACCCTTCACTCCCTTTCTCCTGTTTCCCTCTAACTAAGAGCCCCTGAGAGCAAAACCCATATCCTTTTCATTCAATCAATTCCACCCTATCTTGCCTCTGGGCCTTCACTCCTAATTATCCTTCAGAGCTTTGTTTGCTTCAAACACCAGCCTCCTATGTGAAGCCTTTCACGACACTTTCCCATGTTCCCCTATCATGGGCTATAATCCCACAGCCATAGGACCCACTGGATTTACTACCATCTATTTGTTAGAGTATCTCCAGTAGTATGCTGATAAATGTTTAATAACTGATTTTATGAAAGGAAAACATAAAACATTCCAAGTTTGTAGTGATTCAAATTTCCACTGTGTAAATACTCCCACCATGACCAATTTCAAGCTACCTATGTGAGGTCACACATTGATTTGGGTAGAAATGCCCAGTAGCACAGCAGTATACAGCATTTCCACCAGACTCTGCAATAGATATAGACCACTTCAAGAGCATAGACAATAAGCAATGGCAGTAAAATAATTAGGAATTGATACATTTTGAGTGTTTGTTACCTTTGTTTGAAATATATTTTAATTATAGGTTTATAGAATTTTATTTTTAATAAGAGTGTGTTTAACAACTGACTTGCAAAAATTTCTAAACATCTATCAACTCTCACGAGTCAGTAGCAATGGGCTCCAGCACATCACTGTTTGTCTCTCTGACTAGACTGTGAACTTGAGAACCGGGCCTGGGACTGTGCTGCTCATCACACCTCCAACACCTAACACGGAGGAGGCACTGAGTAATGTTCATTGGAAGCAGCCAGCCACATCCATCCTCTTCTCCTCACTTTAAAAGGAGTTAGGAGAGAGTTCAGCATGCTGTTTAACCACAAAGGCCACTTGGTAAATGCTCTAGAGGAAGCCATACCAACCTCAGCCAAGAACGAGGTCAGACCTCCGTCATATATAGTACTTTATTTCCAACTTCCTACATGTTAAGCTCATATGCCACTCTCCATTGAGAAAGCAAACAAGGCTCTGCTAAATGTTTTATCCTTTCCTTGAGGGGTTACCACCAGCTTTCTTCCCAAACTAGCAAGCCAAGAGAGCACAGGTCTGATATTAATGCCCAATTCACACCAAATCCCATATGGCAAAAGACAACTCCTGCCTTTCTAAGCCTCAGACGCTGATCCAGTTATTTCAAGATCCATTGGCTTTCACCGAATTCAAACCCAACAAAAGAATTTAGACACTTCTCTGCAGTTTCTTAGAATGGTTTTGATTACCCTAGAGCACCAGGCCAGCCACCAGCAGGACAGAATGACAGGCATAGTCACAGTGTGTTAGAGGCCAGATCCCACCTCTTAACTACTGGTGGAACTTTCTAGACAGGACCTTTTCATAATGATAGCTATGACTAACATGCCACATGTGCTATCTACCTCTGTGCCAAGCACCATGTGAGATCAGTCTCATAGACTAATTAATAAGGCCTCGAATAAAGTCCTCAAGCAGTGGCACCCTCATTTAAATTGTCAGTTTTTGGGGGCTCTTGCCAATTCAGTAAGACAAGACTGTAGCTGAGTTAAAAAGGTTCCACTTCATTAAGCACCGAAATAAAGCCACAGCTCTCTAAGAAATCATAGCTGTGGGGAAAAGTCTCCTCTCAATGACCATTTTTCCTTTTTGCCAATATGATGCCATACAAACTGGCAGGAGATGTGCCTTCCTCAATGAGCACGTCCAAGGCGCCTTGAATCTCTCCACGGAGAAGCACGGCAGGAAGCGACTCCATGGGCTAAGCTTTGCCCTTGTCTGACATCCGTTCAGAGAGTTAAAATTCGTTGGCTTTTCAGGGCAGTGGGTGACATTACTCATGGTCCTTTGCAGATCTTCAGTAAGTTGACATTTCAAATCATTTGAATAAATCAAAGTGACAGAGGCACCTTAAGTTGCTGAGTTGGGGAGATGATTATAGAGAGTGAAAGACACATTTTCATTTTATTGCTGATGAGCAAAATAAGTAAATTTTGAAAAGGAAGTGGGATGCTTTGTGGGAGGAATCTTCTCAGAGAGGACTGCAGTGGTACCTCTATCTTGCCAGTGATAAGCTGGTGCAGAAACGTTTCCAAACTATTCACCATATGTACCCCAAAAACCCAGTATGTAGAATACACACTATCCCTGAACACAAGAGAGCCCTGATTTGATAAATCTTAACCCTGGAATATAAGCTGTCAGTGCCACTTGGAGGAGTGAATCCAGTTTCCCGTAAGTGAAACTTGAGCCTTGGTCCCTCATAGCTATCGACTCTTATCTTCTTTTACGAAAGACCACTAGTGAAAACACAAGGTTAGTTGCTCTTCTCTGTGCACAGAAATAGCCTAACTCTGCTTTCAAGCTGCTTTGTTCAAAATGTGCTAATGATTTGTTGAGTGAATGAAAAAAGCAAGCAAGCAAACAAACAAACAAAATTTTATTTTTTTTTATCATTTCTCTAGAACACTGGCAAACAAACAAACAAACAAAAACACTTTAAATCAGACTGCAATTTAGGTCAAAAGTTAGAAAATATATTTGCAGAGCATATTTCAGGAAGGAAGATCTTTTTCATTCGAATCTACTGCTAATTATAAAATAGGTGATAGCAAGCATTGTGAGGAGATAAAAAGGAGGGGGTGGGGCAGTGCTATTTCATAATATAGTCACCCTCGATTGGAAAGTGGGCGTTTTAAGATTTGGCACCAAACCCCAGCGAGTCACTCTGTAGCATGAGTTCTCTCACTTTGGGCTTTCGGTTTGGACACATAAAGAACAGGGCAAAACGTAAAGCCAGAAGGGATGATTTTTTAAAGGGCAAGCTGCAAATAAAGATGGATTTCAGGCTCCTTTGCAAATAGAAGTGGAATAATGAGAATAAGCTTTCTAAGGCCTGAGGGGAAAGAAACACATGGAGGTGGTCAGCGCTGTGCCCAAAAAATGCCCTTGAGGAAGACTTTCAGATCCTGGGCATAAGGGGAAGGTGGCAGTAGCACTAAACCATTCTAAGACCAAGTTCTAACACTGACAGCATTGACTCCCTAGAACCAAGTCAGGGGAAGTATGCTTGGAGTCTAGGAAGCACAGTCATGTGCTGCTTAATGATGAGGGTACCTTCTGAAAAACATGTCGTTAGGTGATTTCATTGTGTGGACATCACAGAGTGCACTTACATAAACCTAGACGGGATAGTCAACTGCACACCCAGGCTGTATGGCATGGCCTATTGCTCCCAGGCTACAAACCCGAACAGCATGTTACTATACGGAATACTGTAGGTAATGGGAACACAATGGTAAATATTTGTGGAACGAACTTATCTAAACATAGAAAAGGCACAGTAAAAATATAGTATAAAAGATAAAAAATTATACATCTGTGTAAAGCACTTACCATGAATGGAGGTTGCAAGATTAGAAGTTGCTCTGGGTCAGTCAGTGAGTGGGTGGTGAATAAATGTGAAGGTCTAGGACATCACCATATGCTACAGTAGACTTTACAGACACTGTACACTAAGGCTATACTAAATTTACGAGAAATATTTTTTCTTGCCCAGATGTGGTGGGTCACGCCTGTAATCCCAACACTTTGGAAGGCTGAGGTGGATGGATTGCTTGAGCTCAGGAGTTTCAGATCAGCCTGGGAAACATGGCAATACACCGTCTGTACAAAAAGCTAAAAAATTAACTGTGTGTGGAGGCACACACCTGCAGTCCCAGCTACTTGGGAGGCTGAGGTGGGAGGACCACTTGAGCCCCGGGGGTCAAGGCTGCAGTGAGCTGTGATCGTACCACTGTGCTCCAGCTTGGATGACAGAGCAAGACTCTGTCCCAAGACATACATAGTTTTTTCTGTCTTCAATAATTAATTATGCAAAATAAATAAATAATAAATAAATAAAAATAATTAATTGACCTTAGTTTACTGTAACTTTTTTACTTTATAAACTTTTAATTTTTTTACCTTTTTTACTCTTTTGTAATAACGCATAAAACACACATTGTGCAGCTGTACAAAAATATCTTCTTCATGTATATCCTTATTCTCTAAGTTTATTTACTTTTAAAATTTTAATTTCATTTTTAATTTGTGTGTCATCCTGGCACAGGAGCCATGTGCAATGATTCTCAGTATCATTCCAATTTTAGTACATGTGCTGTCAAAGTGAGCGCAGTTTTGAAATTTTTTGTTAAACTCTTAAGACCAAATACACACGTTAGCCTACCCCTGCACAGGGTCAGGATCATCAATATCACGGTATTCCGTCTCCACATCTTGTCCCCCTCTGGAAGATCTTCAGGGGCGTTAACATTCATGAAGCTGTAGTCTCCTACGATAACAATTCCTTCTTCTGCAATACCTCCTGAAGGAGCTGCCTGAGCCTGTTTTACACTTAACTGTTTTTTTTTTTTTAATAAGTAGAAGGAGTGCACTTGAAAATAAAGATAAAAGGTATGATATGGTAAATACCTAAACCAGTAACAGAGTTGTTTTTGTCATTATCTAGTATATGTATTACATATAGATAATCATATTGCTAGACTTGTATATGACTGGCAGAGCAATCGTTTGCTAACACTAGTGTCCTCACAAACACAAGTAATGCGTTGCATCACATTACGGTGTTAGGGCTGCAACATTACTATGACTACAACGTCACTAGGCAATAGGAAATTTTAAATTCCATTGTAGGACCATCATCGTACATGTGGTCCTGTGATTGAGCAAAACATTGTTATGGGGCACATGACTGTAGCTTTTGGGCAAGTGGGTCTCAATCCTGCCTGCAAATTAGAGTCACCTGAAGAGGTTTTAAAACTTTTGCTGTCCAGGCCACCCGCTGAACTAGTTAAATCAGAATATTTGGGTGTGAGACCCAGGAATCGGTATTTTTATTTATTTTAAAAATTAGGTTATTTGATTGATTTACTTACTTAGAGCTGTCGGTATTTTTGAAACTCCCTAGGTGATTTCAATGTGCAGTCAAGGTGGAGAACCATGAATTAAACAGCAACAAAGCAGAGTTTTATAACTTTAGAGTTTATAAAGAACTCTAATGTGTATGTAATTTTATGTTTCTTGAAATGGTGCTTTCTCTTATACCTGACATGCAATATGGACAGTTAGTGTTCATCTTAGTCCATTTGGGCTGCTATAACAGAATTCTATAGACTGGGTGGCTAACAAACAGTAGAAATTTATTTCTTTCAGATTTGAAGCCTAGGAAGCTCAAGATCAATATACTGGCAGATTCAGTGTTTAGTGAGGGCCATCTTTCTAGTTCATACATGGTGGTGTTCTCTCTGTGTCCTTGCCCGACAGAAGAGGCAAATGAGATCTCTGGGGCCTCTTTTGTAAGAGTACCAATTCCATTTACGAGGGCTTCACCTTCATGACCTATTCACCTCCCAAATGCCCCACATCCTAAATATCATCACATTGGGGATTATGTTTTAACTTGTGAATTTGGAGGGACACAAACATTTAGTCTATAGCAGTGTTGGTAAGTAATTTTAGTATTGAGATATATGTAAGGAGAATACCTAATCAAGGGGCCAAGTCTGGGGCCAGACTTCAGTGTGTTCTAGTCAAGAGCCAACTTCTCTGGTTGAGGTCGAATTTCTGTGGCACCTGAGATTCCCCTGGCTAGGGGAGCTGTGTGCTGGTATGGTGGGGCTGGGTACACCATGCCATTTCTTCGTGGTTGAGGTCCTTGTCTACTCTGGCCTAGATGCCTTCAGGATCTGATTATTAAGATGGCACACAACATTTCGTTGTGTTAATTAATGTCCTCTTTTGAGGACATTAATTAATTTATTCACTCACCCACAAGGTCTTACTTACAGGGCATAATAAATTTCAGGTGCTAGATTGTGGGTAGGGGAAGGGACAGGTCCCAGTCTTCTGGGGAAGACAAACAATTCCAATAGAGCCGAAGGAGTACACAGGACAAAAAGGACGTGATAAAGGAAGAGTTTCTAGAGGTGTTGAATCCTAAGGAATGAGTAGAAGGGAGCTCCTGAGGCAAAGAAAGCTGAGAAGGACATTCCCAGACAGAGAAGACGGGGAAGAAAAATATGTTTCTGCTGGAGGCCACGTGCAGATCAGTATGGCTGGGGTATTGTGTGTGATGCAGGGAGGGGTACGAGATGCAGATAAAGAAGTAGACAGGAGTCAGATAATGGAGGACCCATGGGCCATGCTAGGGAGCTTGAACTTCATCTTCTAAGCAACAGGGAGTCACTAAATCAATGCTTCTGCTTTTGGCTACATATTGGAATCTTCTCAGGAGCTTTAACAATACTGATGCCTGGATACTATACCTGGAGATTCTGACTTAATCAGCCTGGGATGCAGCCTAGGCATCAGGATATCTGAAATCTGCCCAGATGATTCTACTATGCAGGCAGGGTTGAGAGTCACTGCATTAAGGGCTTCAAACAGGGAATTGACATTCTTTGGGGCCTGTTTTTAGACAGCTCATGCTGGTACAGGTGGACGAGTAGCTGCAGGCAAGAACCAGCTTGAAGGCTATTACAATAGTCCAGGTGAAAGATGATGTAGAACTGACTAAGAGCAACAATTGCAGTACTGAGAGAGGTTTAGAATGTTACATTGGCAAGACTTGGGTGATTGACTATCTGTGTGGACTGTGAGAGAGGGAGGAATCAAGAATGACTCCTAGAGAAATTTGAACCATCATACATCGCTGGTAGGTTTGTAAAATGGTGTGCTCACTTTGGAAAATAGTTGGGCAGTTCCTCAAAAGCTTAAACACACAGTTGCCAAATGACCCAGCAAGTGTAATGTAAGGTATATACTCAGCAACTCTAAAACGAAGTAAAACATATCCACACAAAAACTTGTATGTGGATGTTCATAGCAGCATTATTCATAGTAGCCCAAAAGTGGAAACAACCCAAATGCCAGTCACCTGATAAATAAAGAGAATGTGATAAATCTATGCAGTGGAATATTTTTCAGCCATATGAAAGAATGAAGGACTGATACATGCTACAACATGGATGAACCAAGAAAACATTATGCTAAGTGCAAGAAGCCATCACAAAATTCCGTATATTGTGCAATTGCATTTATATGAAATATGCAGAATAGGCAAATCCAAGGAGACAGAACACAGATTCATTGTTTCCAGAGACTGGGAGAGGGGAGATTGGGGAGTGACTGTTAAAGGACAAGCAGAATCTTTTCGGGGGGATGAAATGTCCTAAAACTAGATTGTGGGACTGGTTGAGAAACCTTGTGAACTTACTAAAAAGCACTGAATTGTACACTTTAAAAAGGCAAATGTGTGGTATGTGATACCCCAAGAAAAAAGAATGACTTCCAAGTTCCTACCTTGACTGGCTGATTTAATGCTTATGTCAGAAAATAAGGTAGGGAACACAATGGAGAAACATATTTGGCAGGGACTGGTGCCTGTGGGGCCCCTGGGTGCTGATATCTAGCAGACTGGTAGATGATGAGACTGAAGCTTGGGCAGATGTCTTGGCAGGAGACAGAGATTTTGGAGTTATCAGCTTGGAAATAGGTGGTCGTTGATGTTGTGGGAAATGATGCAATCACTTAGAAAAAGAGTGTAGTGTGTGAGGACTGGAGGCCAAGAAAAGATCCCTGGGCAACACTAGCATTTAAGGGGTGGTAGAAGAGCTCATGGAGGAGCCAAAAGAAGAGGTGTCAGAGAGATTTGAGGAAAAGCAGCGAAGTGGGAGAAGGGGATTGTCATGGAATCCCAGAGTATTGAGACAGAAGGAAGAGCCAATTTAAATATCATTATATAATTAAGTCTCTGCCCTATTTCTGGTATCAACCCATACTGACCCTGTTTTAAAGATGTGGATAAGATGACTTGTTCAATGATAAATCCTCTATAATAGACGCTTTTTATAAATCCTTGTCCTTCTGACAGTTTTCTTCTGCTCCTGACCCTACAAAGGCAGAGGTCACCTCTCCAGGGCAGAATTAGTTCTTCCACTTTCTGTGGCCCCATAACTTGTGTGGGTACTTTTGGAGTCAAGGAGAAGAGGGGCTGTCCTTGGAAGATTGAAAGAATGAGCTATCAGAGTGGACTCTGTATAGAGATCTGGAAGGGTTTTTTTCCTGTTAATCAAGGAAGAATAACCAATCAGATGTTACTTCAGCAGCATTTACACCTTCCCTGAATCTGCATCTCTTCTTCTCACTTGCCCCAAGTTGTTCTGCCTCACGTGTTGACAGTACTATTAAGAGCTGCCTGCTGGCTGCAGTGGCTAAGGCCTGTAATCCTAGCACTTTAGGAGGTTGAGGCGGGAGGGTGGTTTGAGCCCAGTAGTTCGAGGCCAGCCTGGGCAATATAGTGAGACCTTCATCTTTATAATAATAATAATAATAATAATAATAATAATAAAAGAGCTGACATTTATTCTTTATGATATAATTGACATAAGCATTTACTCATTTAATTCTCAAAATAATCTTGTAAGTTAAGTACTGTTATTCTTCCTGTTTGAAAGATGGGAGAAATGAAGCACAGAGAAGTTAAGTAATTTGCCTAGAGTCAGGGTGGACCCAGGCAGTGCTCTAGGAGCACTTAGTCTTAACCATTACCCTACCAAGCTCTCAGTAAGCAGCACCAAGCAGTGTGGTGCAGCAGTAAACAGAGTGAATTAGAAGTCCATTGAGTCCAAGCCTCTATCACCCAGCAGCTAGCTGTGTTACGTTCGGCAACTCATGCGACCTCTCTGAGTCTTGGCTTCGTAATCTATATAATAGGGCTATTGCTATCTTCCCTGTAAACCTCACGGATTTGTTGTGATGATGAAATGAGATGAGACATGTACTGAGTGGACAGCTACAACTATAAAGTTCTGTGCTTATTTTCCCAGAACCTCACTAGGCAGTTGACACACGCAACACAAGGATTTTTTTTCACACTCTTTCGACACTTACTGCACTTAATTATAATTCTCCATTTGAGAATCTGTCTTCTCCAATAGACTGAGCTTGCCAAGGATGAGGACCAAGACGTGTCATCTCTGTCTCCGTGGCACCTAGCTCAGAACCTGGCACCTATAGGACACTCAATAAGTGGTACTAGTTAGTGGTAGTGACAATAGTAGGAGAAACCCCAGCAGTAGCACTTTGAATGAATCCCTTTCTCGGTGACTACAGC